AACAGACGATACTAAACTCAATTTATCCGCCTAAACGTCCGTAGCGTGGCGCTACGGACGGCGGGAAAGTAGTTCGGCTGCCCGATGACGTTTTACGTATTATAGGAGTTATTTTTACCGTTGTTTACGGATACTGCCGCAATTTTTATAGGAATCATAACTATAGGAAACGGTTTTATAGGGGGATCTACTGTACTAATATACTAATTACATGGGATATACTAATATACTATACTAATAATGTATTTTTTCATATTTTTCGGTTATCCGACCAACCCGTCCCCAATTGAGTCGGATAATCGATGCTCTACTGTATCTGAATCCTACTTTTTTTGTTCCTAGAAAATAGTTGGCAAAATTGGCTTCTGTAATATTACTAATATTCCACTGTTATCATCTATCAGGAAATATTTATAACGCCGTTTAATTCATAAGGCAGTACAAAATATTCACAGAATATCATAGAATTAAGTCTAATGCAAAATTTTCGAATTGTTGCATAGTTTCTTCGGCACTTGTGCTGTTTAGTGGGTATGGCTATTTGAGAGGTTTTCTTCCATAAAATTAATCAAATCTAGACTAATTTCACTCGAATATTTCCAAAACACGTATAATTTGTTGGAAATGATCGATATAAAATATGCTCCGAATAAAATATTGTCGGAATACTTATCGAGTGTACCCCGTTCGAAGACGCCATTGCTTAAGCTTGTTTTCGTCGCGGAGCGTCACAAAGGACGACACGAAGCTTGTCACGTGACATTGGTCGGTGCTATTCGGTCATGTGACTACTCATCTCTGACGTGTTTCCTGGTAACATTCTTTTTGCGAAGAATTCGCTAAACTTTAGAGACATCACGTGATAGATCCTAATATACTATAGGATTTTTATTGTAATTAGGAACGACTTATTATTATTATTATTAACTATATGAAGCAACAAAGGAAAAACCTCTCGCTAACGACAATAATTCTATCATGATATATATTATGATGATAAATATTAATCAGATGCAATATAAGATATCTAATGTCTTGAAGTAAATAAATATTATACAATTTTGTTTACGACATGAGAGATTAGGCCATTTAAAAGTACAGCAGAATTATTAGTTATTTATCGCATTATCATAAGTTATTATATGTTGATTTTAATCCATATTTAGCATGGAATGAAGTTTTAATATTCCTATTAATGATGTCTCTAAAGTTCAGCGAATTCTTCGAAAAAAGAATAAGTTACCAGGAAACGCGTCAGAGATGAGCAGTCACATGACCGAACAGCACCGACCAATGTCACGTGACACGCTTCGTACCGTCCGTCGTCCGATGTGACGCTCCGCGACGAAAACAAGTTACAAATTTAATGGAAGAAAACCTCTCAAATAGCAGTACCCACAGTGCCGTTTCTTCTACAAACTTTTATTTTAAATTTATTTTCATCAATTAGTACTATAAAATTGTTAGACAATGACAAGAGACAATGCCACCTTTGGAATATCCAGCTATATTTGAATATCTTATTAAAAGTAAAGTTTACAATTATCAAGAAATGCCTTATACATGAAGATAACAAATCAACCGCCTCATAGCCTTTACTAACATCTACTTCAAGGTCCATTCAGAGACAGAAATATGCCCGTTGATCCCCGAATTCTCGCCTCTTTTCTAAGATAGGGCCGTTTTCGTGCTGGAGCTCTAATCTATGCAGTAAATCGGTGTCCATTACCGATTTCTCAACGCCCGTATCACACAGCAGTGCCACATCCGACTGCTGCATGGTCCCTCTTATAATCGGGAGTCCCTTCTCAGATATATCCACACCAGCCAGACTTATTCTACAGCTGGGAACAGATTGCTGGCATTCATTCTGTTCCATATTTAGTTTAAATTTGAAGGTTTTCGCTTAGGGCATTTGCTCGCTAGATGATTCGGATCGTTACATATGAAACATCGCCTACTCCCCGATTGCTTTATTCTCTGTCCCGCATGGATATTCTCGGCCAGTTGAGCGACAGATTCGCACAGTGAACTCACTGCGGCTTCCAAACGAGCTAATCTGTCGTTTTTCTCTGCCTCGGCACTAGCGTTTTCCACCTTATCGCCGCACTCATTCTTTGGATTTTGTATAACGGAAATGGTTCTATTGTTTCCGAGGTTCCCACTCTCATTTCCGACTTTTTCTTTACGTTCCGCGATATCGATAGCTTCATTTAAGGTTTTAGGTTCGCCGTGGAGTACGTGCTCACGGAGCTGGGGATGTAGCCCTTTTATGAATCTCTTCATCACGACATTGTCACGGAGCAACGAAACTTGGTTATTTTTAGATACAGCCCTGTTAAACATGGTATAAAGTCTAATAGCATAATCACATACCTTCTCTTCCCTTAATTGTCGAATGCCCAGCAGTTGGTCTAATGCGCTTTTCTCCTGGAATTCAGCCCTGTCGTAGCACTTGATTAAATTATCCTTCACATCGTCGAAAGAATGAGGGTACAAGTCTTGTAAGGAGAAGAATGTAGACAGTGGTCTTCCTTTGAGTTTGGCCTGCAATATCACAATCTTTACTTCCGGATCCCATCGGGCTATGCGGGCAACACTGTCGACTGTTTGGAAAAATTGGCGTATATTCATAGAGTCACTACTAGTATTCGAAAAGGTGGGGATCATCTCGAGGAAACCAGTAATAACTGGGGGAGATACCCTATTAGTTCCATTGAGAGGGGTCTCACGAAGACTATCCGGTTCGCTCATCGTGTTCATTCACAGGGTACAGACAAATAAAACCGTATAACCGTTATACAGAGAACCACCGAGGCCTACAGGTAATTTACACACCAAATCCTGTCGCGGATGCCATTGTAAGATTTAATTTCTCGACACAGAAATTGGTTAACATCAGGATCAATAAGTACAGTACAACAATAGCTTCTCGTAATTTCCTTTTTCGCGACAGTAAAACTTTCCCGACACGCGTAGATTACACACAGAACATATACTGTAAATAGATACCGTACGTACAAAAAATGTTAAATATGGGCGAAATCGTCTAGAAGTTCTCTTTCCACTCCTTTCTCGACTTCCCGCTTAAACTTCGATCCTTTTTCTTCCTTGTTGACTTCGTAGTTCGTCCAGTTCACTCTCGAGTCCGTCTCACCAACCAAAATTCCTTTCGTCAGCCTTATCACACCTTTTATACCCTCTGTCTCCCCCTGCTGGGTTAATCGCCCCTTCCGGGTCTAACGGACGATGGAACGTTCGGGTGTGTAATAAACAAAGGGCATTGTCTGATATAGGAAAAACATGGCGAACGATCGTCACAGCTTAATTATAGTAGTCTTGATTCTCATAATTATTTTTCAAGTGGTAAAGTAGACGAAATTTTAATTAATTAATAAATTGTCCGAAAACGCTTAACAAATGTAGAGTCACACTGTAGAAATCACAAACCTATCTGCAAGTAATCATTCTGCATAGACTTTTGTGTCTTTTGATGACAAAGTTATTTATCTAGCTGGATGTATATACAGTACATGCATGGTAGGTTCCCATTCTCTTCTTAAATTTTCAACACGTGGAAATGAATGTAACTGCAACGGTTGAATATACGGACAATCTCGATGCATCATGTTTTCGTGTACAGTACATTGCATACAGCTTCAAACCACTTATAAAGAACACCATGGCCATTATGGCAGCCAACCACTGCACAATATCTACCTTAACTAGTTTTTATCACCAATGGAAAACTAAAAATTGCAGACCTACACTAATAACTGGCAGTATTTTAATGGCTGCCAAGACATAGGTTCAGAATTTGAAAACATTCTGGAAACTTGTGGATAGATCTTTCAGCTAGTGATAAATATTTCTGTTACTTTGAGTATTGTAATTGCTTTGCAGTGAAAGTTTGGCTTCAGTACAGCCAGAGTCAGCTATAAACATTCAAAATTCTTTTAAAGGACTGTTTGTAAATACTATTTTAATTTGGTTCTGAACATTATTTATACATAAATGTTGCTAATATCACAGGATTCTATTAAAAGTCACTTCCATGATTTGAGACTTTTAACTGATTTGATGGTTTGTATTATGCTACAATTTGTGTTCATTTGAAATATTTTTGAGTGTTTTCATAATGAGTAGGAAAATATAGAACTAACTATAATTTTTTTTACAATAAATTGTTAATATGGGATGCCCTCAGTGAATTCTTTGAATCAGAAAAAAATGGGGTTGATGAGAGTTATATAAATTTAATCATGGAAATGTATAGAAATGTTAAAGCATGTGTTGGATAGCTTAAAGTGTTACAAAAAGGGGATTTTTTGAGGGTATAAAGGTTTAATATTAGGCCCATACCTTTTTTTTATTAATATTAGTTGAATTATTGTAGGATGCAGTGACAAAGGAGCTAGCAATTAATGAGATAGAGAGTAATTAAAGTTGAGCTGGAAAAGGTTAGAACAGATTAAGGAAAGGAGAATTAAAAATCAATAGAGACTAGGCTTTTAGAATCAGATAGATACAGTAGTTCTTGAAATTGGATGGGGATGTTAGAGGAAAGAGAAGCAATCAGACTTCAGGCTAAGTTTAAAAAATGGACATTTCAATTTTCATATTTACGGGCAGATAGGGGTTAGAGATTGACAAATAGAAGAAATGTAAGATGGCAAGAACTCATTATTATTAGATATTTAACAGCGATAGCAACAATAGAGTCTGAAAGACAAGTTACTTGATATTTTAATTATATATATTTTCATATGCCAAAATGCAAAAATATATATCATCCCAAACACTGTTTATCATTACTGGATCAAATAAGATTGTGTACTTTATGTAGTATTAAAATTAATAAATTATTTGAAAAAATAAAATTTGCCTTTATCTGAGTTAAATTTCTGTGACTGCTTAAATACATTAGAGAATAAGCTATGGTTTTCCCAATTATATTATCATAGATATTCAAAGAAATATAATATAGAAAAATGCACTTATTTATTAAATAGACACATTGTACAGAAAGAGAAAATTATGTACAAAACTTGCATATACAATATGTAACAATATAACAGTTTTAAACTGAGATATTTAAAAAGTTATCTATATTGAAAACTGTAAATGAAAATTAAAAAGTATTAAAAATTACTGAGTTATTTATTATATTAAAAAATTTTATTTAAAATTTAATTTATCCACATCTGAAAAATGGTTGATATGCTAGTATTCTACAAACAGTTTTAAATGTTCTGACCCACTTGAAAAAAAAAAACTATTGCAGATGTAAAAGATTTCTGTGTCTTTTAGACTCTTGTCAACAAGCAAGCTCAGAATTTCTAGCACCAAAAAAATGCAGCCAACATACCTCATAGAAATGTAAAAGGGTAGCAGTTAAAGTAAATTTATGATTATTTTCAGTAAAAATTTACTTCACTTAAGAATAATGTCTCATCAATAACACAACAACAGGAATTTCTTGTTTTCAACAACTTTCAATTTACAATTTTTCCTTACAAATTTAGTAAATTGAAAATCTTTTCAGATGGCAAAGTCAAATTTCTTGTGAATTTTTTGTTTGTCAGTGTAGCAACCTGGGGACATGAATGAAAATCAATTAGGAACACTCTGTACATTTAAATGAGGGCTTGATTTTATACATCATCCTAATTTTATTTTATAAAATGTAGAGTATTATAAAATCACAAATATATTTTTTGCAATACAAATCAACATTTTTGAGGTTATGATAATACTTTTCCAAGTGCATCACTGAACTACTGTTGCAATGATTTTAGCAAAGTCTTTTAAGTGTATCATGTTCAACAGCATTTGTGATCCTCTCTTCTTCGTTATAAACAGAGGCACACTGACAGAAGCACTAAGCAAAAGACACTCACTATTTGATATAAATACAAAAACTGAACAGTGGTTGGGTGTGTGTTACTGCCACTGTCTTGTTGGATTAAACCAAAGAAACAAAATAAAACAATGTTTATAATCAACAAGTAACCATTGAATCAAAATATTTCTGCTAAGAAAAATGAAACTGAAACAAGTAAAAAATTAATGTTAACTCTAGACGAAATCATACAAGCCTAACTTATGAAGTCAATATACAGTATTTACATTAAGGTTGTAAAAGTTTATATAAACTTACACATTTGTTGCCCAGATATATACCTCAAGTGAGTCTTGATAAAAGATGCAGTTAAGACATAATAAAAATCCTGTGACAAAAGTCATTTTGACAACTCCAGAATGCTGCCTAATGTTTGACTTTCAGAAGTCTGCTTATTAAAAAAACCCCCCATTCTTTTTTCTTACATTGTTTCAACAGCTGTTAGATTTTCCTACTAATTAAGCCATTTAATTGTATCTTCCATCATCTGAAAAGCACATGAAAAATTTGTTTTAATATATACATGAAAGCAAAAATAAGAACAAAAATCTGTCTTTACTATCAAGTCCTCTGAATCTTGTCTCAATGAACTGATTGGATAATGATGGTTTAAAACAGGGGTGGCCAAAACTTGGCGCATTGGACGATTACAAGTGGCGCTTCAGTTAGATCTGAGTAAAATTGCCAGATTTGGCTTTTTTGCGATTAAAAATATTATATAGAAAAATAAATTTTTTATAATCTGTCTTGGCAAGTTCATTTGTTGCACAATTCGTTACAGTCTATTGTGCAGATAAAATGAGTGTTCTCCACATAGTAAATTACAGTGTATGCATGTATTGTGAGACTTGCGATCTTTATTTCCGATCAGTTTACAGGCGTGTAAATGGTTGAAAACATTTATTGTGATTAAAGTTATTCCAAGCTGATCTCGTTTTCAGTGCCAATAATTGTGGTGCAGAGTAATCTTCACCAAACGAGACTCTGGCAGCTATAGCACCATTATCAAGCAATCACCCTCTCGTACAGGAGATCATTGCTTACTATTGTAAATTGGTGCTTCAATAAACTGTCATAAATTAATTAATTCAACTGCGTGATTAAATAATTCCCTTTTCTCCCCTAAGCGAAGCAGATTTATTCTTATCTCTATTTATCAACCCCTAACATTGAACGTAAGACTGTATAAAAAGTGTTCGATTTATATGGCGCATCTGAACTCGTCTGTCAGAAAATTGGCGCATGGTATGCAAAAGGTTGGCCACCCCTGGTTTAAAACATCAAACAGCTGATTACTTTGTTATTTGGAATTAAGTACAAAATTTGCTATGGAGAACTAATCATACAAGATTGCTTTTTAGGATGGAAAGAGTAGATTATAATTTCTATTCATTATGAAAGGAAATGCATTTTGGGCCATATGCTTCTCGTCCATCCTTATTATGTATAACATGGTAAAACTATAAATTAGGAATTATGAGGGGCATATAGCTTGAAATGCATTTCCTTTCATAAAAAATAGAAAATATAATCTACTCTTTCCATCCCAAAATCTGTTCCTCTATGATAAATTTTCCATAGCTATTTTGTGTTTAATTTCAAAGAACAAAAGAGAATACAAGAAGCAAACAACTAGCTGATTAATTCTTTTCACAAATGCAATTGTTGCATTTGCATTTGTTAGAATGCCTTGTTGTTAGATGACTTCCAATTCATGCACAACAGAATAACTGAAGAGCTGCAATAAATTTAATAATATTTTCATCTTAAGCAATTGTATTAACCAATATTAAAAATAAGAATTTTTTATTTACAAGTTGACCCCCCTATAATACTGTTGATAATTTTATATGAATTCCATGTTGTACGAGTCACTTAGATTTTACAAATACGTGTGCCGGCCTGTGAACGGTTCACATATTTGTAAAATCTAAGTGACTCCTACAACATGGAATTTATATAAAACGGAATAATCAACAAACACTGTTGATTATTCCTTTTTATAGGGGGTCAACTGGTATTAATTTTTGTTTACCTGAGCTGCTAATTGTACATTCATCTTTTGGAAGCTGAATTTAGATGAAAGGAGGTAAGCATTGGGCACAATTTCAATCCAGTAGTATGCTTTGAGTTCCAGTAAAATTTGGAAATGTTGCAATGAAACATTACCTTTGAGGCACTGACATAAAACATAGAAACATGTAAGTGAATAAATAAAACAAGCAGGACTTGTTTCTTTCAATCTACAAAATACTAACCTTAAAAAATTTTTTCTTTCAAAAGATTGTTTTGCACTTCAGAATGTGTGGCATGTCAATTATAATAAACACATTTCTATCTGAAGTAGCTGGATGTAGAAGTTTTTAAACTGATATTTAGTTTCAGAAATTTCTAACATATTTAGTGCAGCTTTATTTGTCCCTCCCTGCTCCATCACACATAATTGCATTAATAAATGCACTTGTTCTTCCAATGTCATCAGAATTTGAAGAATTAACTGAGC